AGTATGAAAATCAAACACCAATTTAAGAATTTGAAAATACAATATGAATATGATGAACCAGCGTGACAATAGAATAGCACGGATAGCCATTTAAACCAAAGCAAGCTTATCAAGAGCTACCATTAACATTTATAGAATTTAAAATGAGATCCCCTGTAACCACTTTCACACAAAGCGACCCCGCCGCCTCACCCCAATGTATGTAGGTGGAGGTGTAAGCACAATACCAAAACTCTACTCAAGCGGCCCTGCCGCCTCACCCCAATGTATGTGGGTGGAGGTATAACCACAGTACCAAAAACCTACACAAAGCGGTCATACCGCCTCACCCCAATACATGCGGGTGGAAGTACATCAATGATACCAATACCTACACAAAGCGGCCATGCCGCCTCACCCCAATATATGCGTGTGGGTGGTGGTGCAACAACAATACCAAAATCATATAAAAAGCGGCCCTACCGCCTCACCCCAATATATGTGGGTGGAGGTGTAACCCCAATCGCAATCTCTACACAATTTGGCATAATAGTTTTCCACATAAATCACGACTTGGAATCATAACATGTAGATACACAATTCATAGTTTGGAACACATCCTCAATTTATAATACAATATGATAAGAGCATTTGAAACAGAATTGAACATATATCTTTGTCACAAAACTTATTCGGAGTACTCGACTTATAATAAATATCTTGGAACTTACAAGGGTATTGGGGTTCCAATTCTTAAAGAAGAGTTTAGCCAACATACTTCAATTGAGCTTCCTTAAACTCTAAAATATTTCGGAATTCTTAGCAACTTCAATCTATTTTAGAAATATAACAAGTTGAACCAAAATTAGGAAGATGATCATGGTTCTAGCTCATTTGAGCATTTTATCAAACACTAGGTGTGCATTAAGATTTCAAGGTCCTTTTATGGAGGATTCCATCACCCCACAACCCATTATTTACCATTTTTAACTCAATAATTTTCCTACACCCTTTGATAATACATGCATGCAAAATAACCAACTCCCATACCCAAGAATCATTTTACTAATTACCCAATTCTAGATAAAATTCGAGATTGAGGGTTAGGGTGTAGAATCTTACCTCTATGATGAAGACCTAGTAAGTTTTCCTTGTTAATCTTCAAAGATTCGAGCAAGAATTGAAGGACAATTTGCTGAAGATCACTCCCTCACTCTAGGGCACTCTTTCACTCTTAAAATGTCAGATTTTAGCTCAACACATGGTACAAATCGTCTATTTAACGAAGTAGGGTCGGGTTATAAAAACCCAAAAATGAAGCTCTGAAATAGGGTATGCAGTCGCATATGCGACCGCATAATGGATATGTGATCCGCATATCAGCCACACAATTTGGTGCCCAAAACTAGGGAAAAATCTACTTGGGTTCTACAATCCTAAAACATGTGAGCCACGAAACCTTAAATTCATTTGCGCACGAAATCTTAAATTCATTTGCTAAATTTTACGGGGCTTTACAATTATACCAACCAGTCCCGTAACATAACACGGATTTACTCGGGGTCAAATCACGTCAAATAATATCGAAATTATAATTCACAACTCGATTCACACTTATGAGTTTATGAAATTTTTACTTTACAAAACTCGCGCCGAAACATATTAAGTGAATCCGGAATAATTTCAAATTTGGCGCACAAGTCATAAATGACATAACAGAACTATTTCAACTTTCGGAATCGAAATTCAAGCCCGATATCAATAAAATTCAATTTGTGGTCAGACTTTGAAAGTTTGTAGCCTTTAAATTTCTAGTTTCCGTTAAATGGAAATAATTCGACTTAGGGACCTCCGAATTCGATTCTGGGCATACGCCCAAGTCCCAAATCACGATACGGACCTACCGGAGCCATCAAAATACTGATCCGGGTCTGTTTGCCTAAAATATTTACCGAAGTCAACTTAAGTGAGTTTTTCAGGACTATTTCATATTTTAATCAATTTTTTACATAAAAACTTTTCGAAAAATTTTACGGATTGTGCACGCAAGTCGAGAAATGCTGAAAAATGCTATTCGAGGTTTCAGAACACATAAATAAATGTTTAAATTAAGGATAAAATATTGGGTCATCGCAATTATGTTCGAAAGTAATTATACCAATAGGATTCCTAAACGTAATCATATAGGATTCCTAACATGTAGTATTATGTCCTAAAACTAATAGGATTACAAGGCTAATGTCTAGAATTTCGGTTATGTCCTTTTATTGTGAGTTATTATGACTAATATTATAAGGTTATTTTTGTAAACCGTCATTGTATTCATGCTTTTATAATAATTCAGATATAGATAAAAAGTAATTTTTCCTACATAGGCACTTAGTGTAATATTTTTCAAAATGAGTATTTTAGCATGATCGTTTTGGTCGTATATGCATCCGCGTTAGTTTACCTTTTTATAATTAATAAACAATGAAACTCACTATAATACATTCAAAGTATTCTTAACTTAGAAAATATGTTTTTTTAAAATATATTTGTATAAACTAATAGAAGTGGAGCCTTGGCGTAACTAGTAAAGTTGTTGCCATGTGACCAGGAGATCACGGGTTCAAGCCGGAAAAATAACCTCTTACAGAAATGCAGGGTAAGGCTACGTACAATAGACCCTTACGGTTCGACCCTTCCCTGAAACCCGCGCATAGCGAGAGTTTAATGCACCAGGCTACCCGTATATAAACTAAAGGTGTTTACCGGACGGGCTGGACCAGGCTGGACATGAAAAAAAAAGCCTGTTCGGTTAGTGAGGTGGGCTAGTTAGTGAGCCGGGGTTCCGGGCTGGTAGTGGGCTGGGATATTTCGGGTTTTGGTGGGCCCGTCCGGGGTTCGGGCTTATCGGGTCCGGACCGGGCCGAGTTTTCTTTTTAGTATATTATGTTTTCTTGTTCAATGTAATTGTTACTTAAGTGTTTGCAAGCTTTTAAATAATAAAATAAGTATTTTAAGGCATAAAATTAAACTTTTAAACTTTAAATTTTAATGTTTTAAATTTGAATTTTAAAATTTGAAAATTGAAATTAAGTGGCTACATAAAATTATTTAATAAGACCAATATGTAAGGATCAAATTTCAAAGGCTTTTATTTCATACTAACAAATTCAAAATAACACAAATTATCTCAAATCAACTTAAATACGAATTCCTGGAGGATGCTCAAGACAACCCTTGATATGCCTCCTTAAACCAGTTGTGCCCTCCCACTTTCGACGAACATTAAAAGACTCGGCCACAGTTCTTGCACTCTACTTTGCGGACTTCTTCATTTTCTTCTAACACCTCAAAGTGTTCCCAAATATTTGAACGCACTCTAGAAGCACAGGGCATGATTTGACTTGAACCTAACAAAAATGGTAACCACACTTCACTTGATAATTATAATTTTGTAGTGGCTACCGTAAATAATTGGTAAAATTTAAAATTTTAATTAATTGAGAACTTGAGAGCAATAAGCAATTCAATAATCAAGAGGGAATTGAGAGAGAATTAGAGTAAAAGAAGAGAGCAAGTTGTGAGAAAAAATAAAGAAGAGGGGGCTATTTATAGTTATTAAAAGGTTAAGAATGTAATTTATCAATTATTAGGGTTGGAGAGGCTATTTTAGTAAGGGGATAGGCCGAAATGGCTAAAAGTACAAAAAAGAGTTTTTGCATAACGGTCATTTTTTATTTTGACAGTTTGCAACGGTCAGAATTTAAAAAATAAAATTACAACTTAAATCGGACTGGACCGGGCTGGAACACGGTTAAAACCCTTGAACGGGTTAGCGGGCTAGCCGGGTTCCGGTGTACCGGTAGCCAAAAAAGGCCCGACCCAGTCCAGCACAACCCCCTACCCTAGCCAACGCGTCCTACCCCTTACCGACCCGGGTTGACCCGGGCTGAAGTGGGTCGAACCGGGTTATTAGTGGGCCGGCCCGACCCGATTAACACCTTTAGTATAAACTACTCCCTCCGTCTCATATTATCAGTCGTGGTTACTACAAATAGTTATCTCAAATTATTTGTCACTTTAAAAGTTTAAGACAAAATTGATTATCTTGTTCCTTTTTTACCCTTAGTAATAATTGTTTTTAAAAACTAGAAATACCTCAATTATGAATAACTTTGTTCAAATATCAATGAAAAAAGATTAAATATTAAGACATGAATAAGGATAAAGTAATCAAAATTCCATCCTAATTAATTTTTACTTAGGGGTGTGTATGAGTCGGAGGGAGTAATAATAGTGGAAATAGAAAGATTGACCTCATTTTTTTAAAAATAAATCTTTGCTATGAACAAATTTATATATATGCTCTTTAAAAAGATTTTAACCATAATTCATATCCCTATTAAATTCTAGCTGAAAACTCTTTCTAATCTAGACTACTTTGAGGCTTTTGAAGTCTTTTTCACAATTAAAGTCAAAGATTTGTAAATGACAAGATAGACGTTCCTTGTAGTAAATTTTAAGCAAAGGGCTTGTACTCAATAGTTCCTTGTAGTAAATTTTAAGCAAAGGGCTTGTACTCAATAGTCAAACAATTATTTTCTTGAAAAATAACACTGTATATCCGCTCTCAAAATAATAGCTGAAAAAATATATTTTTTTATATATATATATATATATATATATATATATATATATATATACAAAAAAATATACCAATTTTATAAACTTTTGTGACTAGTGAATAAAAATAGTTTCGATCGCCGGATCTTTTCCCATTCATTTTGTCACTTTGTATCACGCAACAAGTTTAGATGTGGCTTGCACTTAGTTAATCAATTCGTTTTTTCGCTTTGTATCACGCAACAAGTTTTAATGTGACTGGCACTCAATAGTCAATCAATTAGTTTTTTCAATTTGTATATAGCAACAAGTTTAGTCACATCCGTTGCTATCACACTACCTCCCCTCTCAACAATTCAAATTGTCATGCAGTTGTAGTCTTGTAGATTTGTAGTGGGCTTAAAAGCAGGTGGGAACATCCAAAGATTGTAGCTTTAACAACTAAAAGTAATTGTCAATTAAGGAGAAATTCTACATTAGACATGATTCACAATAGATTAGCAAATTGAAACTAAATTTTCTTTTTAGCTCCTTGAATGCCTCAAGCAGAAAGCTTTTATCCTCTCAAGTCCTTCTTCAAGAATGGATGGCTCAATGGCAAAAGTTAACCGCAGCCAATTCTTCAGTCCCACCACCACTCCTGCAATTTATAATTTTTTCATCACTCAATCGGCCATAAATAATAGTACTTCACTATTTTCTACAATACTATGCATGTTTGTCTTGAGCCGAAACTCTATCGGAAACAATCTCTACACCGGCACAAGGTACGCGTAAGGTTGCGTACTCACTATACTCCCCATACCCCACTTGTGCTATTACACTTAAGTTTTTCATTTGTTTTTGTTGTACTTGCTACAATACTGGTGTATGCGTAAGGCTGCATACTCACTACCTTTTCTAGACCCCACTTATGAGATTACAAATGTTTTATTGTTAATGTTGTTGTACTTGCTATAATACTGGTGTGGCCATCAATCAGTATTTGCAAATACTGAACTTCAGTATTTGAAGTACTAGTGAAATATTGAAAACTTGTTAAATGAGTAGTGAAAAAATGGTTTCTAACATACAAATCTTTTAACTCTTTTCTTCCAAGTGAAATTCATATTCAAACACAAAACTTCAACTTTTAATACTTTATTTTTTAAACTTGGACCAAATATTGTCCAAACGCCGAAACTCAACAGCGTGTACTAAATTCCTTATTGAGCAACCATATTAGCAGCGAGCGAGCTATTTACCTGGCAGAACGATTACTGATTCTTCATGGACTAACTTAGTGCAGAAATCCATATCATCATTTATGCCTTCCAAATATGACAGGTTCAACTTAAACTGCAACGCAAGAAAGTCAAAACTGAATATCTGGAGTTCCTAGATTTAGAATTTTAGAGGACTCAAATTGAAGTGTTACAATAAGTCCTTACCATCACTGACATTGCTCCATCTGGTTTGTACGGGCAGGTAAAGCAAGGCATCTCCTGAATTTTGGTAATAAATACATCGACAGCTTCCCTTAATATATTATTGATGTTTGAAAAGAAATCCTTGGTCGTCGTCTCGAGGATGTGAGGCACTGCTCCCTGAACATTTGAAATCACACACAATCAGAACTCAACCTGATATATGGAAAAAGAAACACATAATGGGATGAGATAAGTCTCGTTGATGGATGTCAATGAACTAACGTAAGCAAACTCATATAGCTTCTTGTCATCGCCTGTTATGAGCTTGATTACGTGTATGATCGATTTGATCATAGGAAATCACATATAAGCAATACCTGAATAATAGTTGCAGGATTAGCACCGTAATCAAGATAACTTTGAAGGGATTCAGCAAGCTGAAAAGCAAAAAGCAACATAAGACTCGGTCACATTTTAGAACAGCCTTAAAAAGCACTGAAATGCAAGTCTATTAGTTTCTACTCTTGCAGAGATCTATATGAGAGATACTAAATGCCATCAGTGGGTTAGTATGCATGACTAAAGTGGCAGCCGCGTTCACACAGGGTCCGGAGAAGGGCCGCGTTCCAAGGGGCGTGATGTAGGCAGCCTACCCTAATGCAAGCATTAGTAGCTGATTCTATGGCTCAAACCCGTGACCTACAGGTCACACGGAGACAACTATACCGTTGCTCCAAGGCTCCTCTTCGTTAGTATGCATGAATGTACATGATATATTTCCCAATTGGGCAAACATCATAAAAAGCATCCTTCGGATATTTCCCAATATACATTTTCCTCCTCATAATTCTTCAATAAACCGTATCCTTTGGATATTTTGTCACATGTCGTGGACCCTTTTCTGATCCATTTATTATCTGGTTTAGAAAGTTGAAATAAGAGTATTAAGATAAACAAAAGAAAGTAAAGACAAGGAAGAAAATGATACGAACCCCGGACTTCTTAAGAATGCCACTAGGATCAACCATTGCCATCCAACCAAGTCGCCAACCAGGAATAATCCATCTTTTTGACAATGACCCCAGAGTTAAAATTGGAGTTATTGATCCAAATACTCCCATTGGCACAAACGGCTTGCTACCGAAACATAGATGGTTATAGACTTCATCTGCAATCACTAGAATACCTAGCTTTTTTGCTGTCTCCGCAACCTCCATGACGAAAACAAAGAAGCGACGAACTTGGAAAATGAGTTAATTCAATAGAAACTGTGAGATTTAACAGAGTGATAAGTAATCAATATACAGATCGATCGTACCTCTTGCAAGTGTTCGGAGAAAAAAACATTACCACAAGGATTTCCAGGATTAATGATAACTATGGCAATAGTGTTATCATCAACAAGGGATTCTAGGCTTCCAAGATCGACCTCCCAACCCTTTTCTGGGAGAAGGTCGAAATGGCGAACCTCAACATTACTAACTGCAGCACGAGCTTCATAAAACGGATACCCTGGTTTAGGAAGCAATATGTTGGCACCAGGGCGAGCGAGGACCGCCATTACAACTTCAATTGCATGATTAGCACCAGGTGTAAGGAAAACATCATCTGGTGATAGTTGATGAGGAAGATCATGAGAGAGGTATTCCGCTATCGACCTATTAAACAGATGAAAAAAATATGTACAGATCAGAGTATGTCTTTGGCATCAGCACTCCGCTTGTTTCTTAGCAGTAGAAGAAAACTTGATGAAACATAATCATATCATTCATGATTATTAGCCACTAAAATAAATGACATCAAGCCTACAACACGCGACAAGCAAATGTTCCTCTTAGTTCTTTCTCTATATCAGCAATGACGAAGCCAGGAATTTCCTCAAGGGTGTTCAAACTTGAAAGAAGTGAAAAAATTCTCCAACAAAGAGTGTTCAATATATGTTACATACCTCTAAAACCTAACATTTTACCTATATACGCTGTGTAATTTTCCGACGAGTTGACCACCCTTTAAGACAGATACCTTCGGCCCTGTATTAGTACCCTACTCTTTATCTGGAATTACACTGTTCAACAGGGTATAAATAATGTTTTTCATATATATATAAATTTTTGAATCCCCGTGAAATAAAAAATAAAGTTTTTAATGTAGTGCCAAAAATGGTTAAAAAATACTAGATGTGACATTTTTACATTTTCTTGATTCCTCAAGTTAAAATTCCTGACCCCGCTGCTGATATCAACTGGTATTTCAGTTAGAGGCTTAGTTTCTATTTTCAAGTGTTCAAGTCTACTAAAAGTAGAGAGGCTATCAAAGAGACAAATGCGAAAAGAAAAATTAAAGAATTAACCGATTTCTAAATTACAATGAGATAAATCACATAAAAAGAAGGAAAAAAAAGGAACAAGCTTTTACCATCCATGCAAGAGAAAATTTCTGCACCGCCCATTAAAATATCAACAAAACATTATCCTATACACTTACCTCCTTGCTAAACAAAGACCAATTTTAATTTGCAATGTGATAAATCAGAAAAAGAGTTTAGAATTTTTACATCCATGCAAGAGACAATTTCTGCACCAACCATTAGTATATCCATAATACATTAGCCACTCTGTTACGCGTCATGTGTGAGTTAGATACATGTCACAAGGAATCTTGTTATAGAGACTATATATGTTGTGCGGACTCTCCAAAATATCACCGCATCTGTGTCGAATCCTCTAAAAATACACTACTTTTGGAGGATCCGACACATACCCGAGCAAGTGGGGCCTGAGGAGGTTAGAGTGTACGCATATTTTACCTTCTTTCTAAAGAGACCAATTTTAATTTAATTTGCAATGTGATAAATCAGAAAAAAAAAATTAAAAGTTTTTACATCCTTGCAAGAGAAAATTTCTGCACCAACCATTAATATATCAATAATACATTAGCCACAAAAGTCTGTTATGCGTCATGTGTGAGTTAGATACATGTCACAACGTGAATCTTGTTATAGTCACTGTGTTGTGCGGACTCTCCAAAATGTTGTCGTACCCGTGTCGGATACTCCGATCCAAACAATCGCAGTTGTCAATATTTTTGAAGAGTTCGAGCAACATAGCATCGAGAAAAGCCTAATATTTAAGTGAAGCAAGATTTCACAATTTTCAAGAAAGAATGTATAAATTAAACATAAGCTATAGCTTACCTCCGAGCTGAATAAAGACCAACAGCAGGAGCATAACCATTGAACTTAGCAGATCGAACAGCACTAAAAAGAGCGTTTTCTGCTACCGGTGAAGTTCGAAAGCAGGGAATTGCAGAAGGGTCACCACGCCCCAAATGAATGACTGACTTCCTCTCATTCTCTTCTTTAAGATTTTCCATTATCGTTTCAAGAACTGATCGAATTGAAAGCAATGATTTTTCCTTTAAATCTCCATTGTTGAAACCCCATTTGGCCAACTTGTTCTCCATTTCCGTGAGCTCGTACTTCAATTATTTTTCTTAGAAATGGTTGGAGTTAACGCCAAATGCAGTCAGCTGTTTTCCTCCTATATAGGCACTGCACATTTATAGAAAGAAAATAGATTGGTGAAAAGAACAAATATTTACAAAATTAGGTCATTTATTAATTAATTACAAGTGGAATCTTGTAGTAATAAATACTACCTATCAATTAATAATCTGGTAAAAATGATAGTGATTAACCTGTTATTAAAAGTTAAAATTCATTCATAGAGTAAAAACATATTTATATCGTCAAATAAAAAAATAGTTTAATTTATATATAAGGAAATTTTACACTATCAAGTGATTTTTACTTGTATGATAACTTAATATATTTGGGTGACTTAATATTGTAAAAAAAAGGTTTACTTTGTTGGGGCAAATGAGTTAAATACATAACTCAAATCTTTTTTGAGTTTAAGTTCTATACACTAACGCTATAAAATTACATAATACTTACATAATCAGATCATTTAATAAGTAATTAAAAGTGAATGTTTAGATAAATATCAATTGGTAATCTGCTAAAAAGAAAAAATANATATAAATCTACTCTCTTTGTTCACTTTTACTTGTCCACTATACTAAAAATATATTTATATTTTTACTTGTCAATTTTAGCAAATAAAGAGAAGACCATATTTTTTCTTGTTTTACCCCTTATCATTAATTCTTCATTTTACAAATTATTTTCCAAGACTTTTCAAAATACAAGTATTATTATGGCAGGGTGTTATGATAAAATATACACCTCATTTATTATTTTTTAAGGAGTATACAAAATTCATTACGGACAAATAAAAATGAATGGATGGAGTAAGTAATTTTAGTCTAACAGAAAGAATTAACGAGTAATGACAATTGAATAGGCATTAGACCCGAGATTACTGATGAGCAGATACAAAGACCAATAAATGGACCCAATTCCGAGAACAACAAAAGTATGGTTCCTTTGTTCAAAGAACGAAAAAGATAATTAATGAAACCCAAGAAATTGTTCGTCGGGGTAGTACCTTTTGAAATATTGCATTATAGCCGTAATCTCGTATGAAAATCTTGTGTTGGTTAGTGGGACAAAATACTGTTTGCATGCAACGGGGGACGTAGCCTAAGGAATGGTTTGATATGAGATAAAGAATAATAATTTTGGGATAAAGTTTAAAATTAACTATCTCATGTTTGGTTTGAGTTATTAACTAATTCCGAAATAACTTTTACACTGAAATGGTGGTATTAATTATGCCATATATGATATAAAAGGTGGGATAACTAATCTCATGGATATCTCACCCCTTGGGATATCTCACTATTGTAACAAATGACCCCTAAAAATGTTTTGATTCGATCAAACAATAATATTAGTATATAAGGTAAAATCGGTTCACATTAAATACTCGAATGATAGAGTGACACGTGAAACCGGGGACAGACGGAAGGCGAAGCGAGTGAAAATCAAGACTGAGGACAACGGCTGTGGCTGTCATCGGGTAGACCCCGAAGGGAACATTGTTAACGAGGGCAAACGAATATTGCCGCCAGATAACATTCAATGAAGAATATTCCTTAGTATTGAATGCACATCTGTTACAGAGAATTTTAGCATTTTTTATTTGCCGTTACATATTCATCAATGGCCCTCATTATTGTCATTTAAGAGGATCTTAGGACCTTGTTCCCTGGGTATAACTATAAATAGTGACTTCAACAGCGATTGTAGGACACGAAAAATTCTGGCAAACTGACGCTATACATTATTCCAAGCTAAATAATACTTTATTTTCTGTCTAACGATATTTTTATTGCTGTCTTTGGAAGCCTTGCTCTCAGAACCAAGTTGTCTGCTATTTTATCTCGATTTCAATGCTAAGTCTTGTATTTTATTTAGTTTATTTATCATTTTGGGATCAAATCGATTCACTTGTCTATAAATCATGCTATAAATTCAAATGTACCGTTTTACGAGTAAACAGTTTGGCGCCTACCGTGGGGCTTAGACAGTTGCGTAATTGAGTTGATCCTTGCATCTATTACTAATCTATTTGATTCTTTGTTTCTTAGCAAAAATCGTAAAAGATGGCAGCTAACAATGATAACATCGCACACAACGTTGAGGACCAAGAAAATCCGCCTCAACACGAGGATTCGATCTGCGACACCCACAACGAGGAGGACCTTGCCACGCCGGTTCATGGTGGGCGATATCCACGACACGAATGTGAGGCTACTCCTGCTGATGCCGAAGACGAGCACGTTGCGGAAACGGTAAGGATCTTGAGAGAACAACAAAATGCCATCATGGGCTATCTCTCACGGCAAGACCAGGCCATGACCGAATTAAGGCAAACGTTGTCGGGTGCTTCCAACAATGCGAATGGAAGAGGTCCAGTTCCTCCTGGTGCTCCCACGAATCAAACAACCCAAAGGGTTGATAACAACACCCCTAGGGGTGAGGTCGGCTTCGAAGGGGCCGGGGGGA